AATCCACGAATCGGGCGGCAATAAAATTCAATTTGGCCGGATTGCGTTCGTCTGGGATTTTTCGGTGGATCGACGCTGGATCTTTTGAGTGGACTGCGCAGCGGCGCTAAACAAAAAGCTCTGCGCATGCGCCGTGGGCTGTGTAACCGATTTTTTGGCCACTGCTAAATCATTGAAGTAACTTTCGTCCGCAGTCATTTGCTTAAAGTTAGTGAACGTGCTAGTATCGCGTATCTGGCGGCGCGGCTTCCAGACGACAACAAAATAAACCAAAACACGCACTTGTGCCTAAAGTTTACCAAACTTTTGCTGCTTTTTTTTCTGTAACGAGCTTTAAGTGTTTTTCTTATTTTGCGGTACAGAAAAATTGAACATTTCTTCATACACTAAACAATCGAAATTTTTCCACTGCCAAAGACCATTTTTGATCAACAAAAATAAAACCACCTATCATTTTTGCTTGCAGAATATAAAAATGCAGTTCACCAGGAGTCGTTTGTTATTATCGATGGCCGTGCTATCGGCATTGCTATCGTTATCGCTGGGCTTTCCCGCTCCTCAGCAAAGCAACTCTGAACTGGAGGCGAACTTCCAGGATACCAGCGATCCCGACTTGAATCCCATCAATGCAGAGGTAACATACGAAAAAAATAAGAAAAAATATGGGAGAGACCCCTAACCCCCGAGAAAAATCCGAAAATCCAACAAGGAAGTCTGCGAAAAATCCAAGAGAGGTAGTGGGGAAAACTTGATTGTCTCCTGCCGTGAAAGTAACATTTTCCCGCTCTCTCACTCACTCTTTTGTTGCACATTTTTAACGCTTTTCTCTGTTTTTTGGCCCGTTGTGCAAGCTGCTAATTTTGTGGTGCATTGAACCGACTTCTGGCCAATTTTCTGGGCAAGCCGCTCGTATGCAAATCGCACAAAACCAAAAGAGCAAAAAAAAAATGGTCTAAACCCAAATTCGATTCCAAATTCGTTGGCCATTCGAGACCAGACGACCTTGATGGCGACAACATTTCAAAACCATTCCAAAAGCCAAAACCGAAAACTGAAAACCCAAAAACCGACAGAAAACCAAAGCCAACGCCTTGGCCCGAAAGAGACGGGTATAGGCGTGTAGAAAGAGAGGGCTATAGGGGAGCTTCTCCATGGCTCATCACCTCTTCTTCTCCCGCTTCCTCTTATTCGCACGGATTGTGAAACATTTCCGCGCCTCCAAAAGTTGGCTCATATATTTATTTCTTCGACTTCGTGTTTATTGATCCAACCATTTGCGGTGAAAAGCATTGAATTCGAGGTAATTGCTGGGGAAATTGGGGAAATTCAAATTCAGCGGGCATTAAAATAGTAACTGCATATCTATGGAAACATTTTTTTTAAGGGAAAGAAAATTTTAAAAACTAAAAAAAAAATTAATCAATTGTTGCAAAATAGTTTTGTTGGCAAAAGAAAATTGTGTTTCTTTTAAAAATGTTAGAAAACGCAAATAATTTTAAACACAAATGTTTTTTTTGTATGTATGAAAAAAATGTTTTTGCCAAAATACCTCTTTTTAACCACCTACAGCTTAGCCAAAAAACGAAGCATTATCTCAGCCAACATTTTTCCACTTTTCCATTCAAGTAGTAGTTAAACTTGTTGTAAATCCCTTCGCTTAACTGCTCGTTCAGCTTTCAACAGCTGACCTGATTTTGCTCTATATAAATCATAGCTCACGCTTTTTGTTTGTCACTTCAGCGGACAAAAACAAAAGGCGAAAAAGGCGCAGAGCGTAATGTGTTTAGCGTTTTGTTAAACTAATAAATCGCCTGGTTGTTTTAGCTTCTCGAAACCCAAAATGATAAAAAAATAAAATAGACCATGTGGGCTGCTCGAGGCGGTTTTTTGTTAAGCAGTCTCAAAAACTCTCAAGAGGGAGAATGGCAGAACAATAAACCAAAAACGCCAAATGAATTGCATAATTTTCGAGATATTAGATGTAATCAAAATCTGTGGGTTGAAGTCGAATTTTTGTTAAGTGTTTGCAGGCTGTCTTGGTGTTTTGATTTACATACCATTTTGTTCAGTGTTGTTACAATTTTGTCATGGCAAGATTAATGATTGACAATTGATTGTTAGAAAAAGATATCTTAAATGTTTCATATATATATTAGAATTCTGAAACCTTTCAATTCATTTTTACATATTTTTGCTATGGTAAATAATGACTCATTTGAATATATTGCAATTAAAAAATTCAAATCACAGTTAACTATTTGACAACATTATTAGAGAGCCATTGAATGAAATAAAAAGGTCGTATAATTGCAAATACGGAGAGTATGCACTAAAATCCCAGCTGCTTTAGTTCGGCCCGAAATTCGATGCCGGGGGTTTCGATTATGCGTTTTGGTTGGAAATGAGTTGATTTGGCTCCGATATCGCGGTGCATACATATGGCCAAATGACGAGGTGAATTTTAAGTGCCTTGGACCAGCGACCGATCGAGAAGCGGTCCGAAAGCACCAGATATACGGCGATAGACATCGGCTTAGAATGACCGAAGGTCCCCAGGTCCACAAGTGATATAATTACTTATGTATGTGCATGAGTGCTTTTATTTCTCTTTAACATTTTTTTTATCTTTGACCAGCCCCGAAAATTGGGTCAAGTCTAACTGGCCCCCAGTGCTGTCAAGTGCTTTTTACCCGCTCTTCGGCAGCAATTAAACTTGAAGTCAGGTGTAATTAGGCAAAGAATCCAATCGATTAAAGCCAGACAAGTCCAAAAATGCCAGATCGGCAATTAGGCAAGATAAAACATGACTAGAAAGAGTTAATATATATACTTAGAGATCGTTAAAGAAGAAAATACTAGTTGCTAAGCGTGGTTCCAGTGTTGATTTTATAATCACTGAAGTAGGCTTAAGAAATTCCTGAAGAAATTACTATGTTTTGAAAGAAAACGTTATAAAAAAACAAAGTATGTTTTATAATAACACTTCCTTAGAAAAATATTTCGCAATCATGTGATTTAATTCGATAAATAAAATAAACAAAATTTTAAGTATGAATATAAAACTTTGCTTAGGAATAGCAATGCCATTTATCCAAGGCTTACTATAAAAATGAAATATAATTTGGTCGAAAAGGATTATTAGTCATGTTAGGAGCTAAATTATTGGTTTAAGAAAGTAAACCAATTTTGGTAGTATTTCCTAGCAGTGTAATCCAATTTGTGTTGCCAGTCGTGGGAAAAATATTTCTTATTTATTTTAGATTTATAATTTAAAAAACAAGAGATCTGTCCTGAAAAAGGTAGACATGGCAACCCTGGTTCCAAAGAACCATCCCTTGTGGGTGATCCTGTATTTTCCACTTCGATTTCCATTTCCAGGAGGTGTTAGGTGTCCAGGAGCGCAACAAAAGAAAACTGCCCGATGCCACATTCGAGGCTAAGAACGCAGTGCTCGGCTTTGTGTTTGGCGTGAGTATTTCAGTGATATAAAGTATTTTTCAAAGAAATATATGACAACTCCGAAAAAACCTACAGAAAATCGACAACTTCCTGGACACAAAGACGCGGGTGATCGAGCAGCTGGACCGCTCGAACATCGAGAAGAACAAGCAGTGGGACATCAAGTCGCCGGTGCCCATCAAGGACTTCCAGACCCTCATCACCGCGGTGGTGTCGCCGAAGATCCGCTCGATCGGCAACATTGCCAACGACCTGACCACCGGTGTCCTGACCACCATCACCGCCTTCAGCGGCTCCTCGTCGGGCGGCGGGAACGCGAACGCCGGCCTGGGCAACGTGGTGTCAAAGTTCCTCGGCTTCTCGGGACCCATCCTGCAGGGATCCTCCGGCGGAGTGAACGGAATCGCCGGCGTGACGTCACCTGCTCCCGATTCCGATGAGGCGGGCTACTAGGGGTGATCACATCATATCATATGTACCAACGATCCAAGGCCAACTAATGGAAGCTGTAATTTATCGTTGAACCCCTATATCTTCTTTTCCCTTCTCCCCCTCACATCCATCAGAATCTTTGTTGAATTTCCAACCCCAACCCCAAACCCTCGCTCGAATCGTTTTTATTTTTTTGTTTACACCCTAGTTAAGTTTCATGTTTGTAAATATTCGGCATAAACAAATATATATATTTTATAGAGAGAATTCCACGACACCACACAAGCGAATAAAACCGAAAACAGAAAAAAACCAACTCACACCACATCTAGTTTCAATGGCGGCCTTGGCCTTGGGCTTTTGGATTTTTTGACTTTGGGTTTTGGATCTCGGATTTTTGATTTCGGACACCTCTGCTCACTCACATCGCCCATCTTTACTTATCCATATGTTTATCTATATCTATATTCATCAGAGCAAGAGGCGTCGTCGGGCGGGGGGCAAAGACCTAAGCGATGCCGCCGATATCATGAGCGATGCCTCCCTGGAACTTCCCTCCGAGCTCCTGAACAAGTCCCTGCTGACGGTCACCAACATCTCCAAGTCGCTGTCCCGACTGATCCTGGTAAGTGCTGGCCATATCAAGGTCTTACTGAGATTTTTAGACAGGGTTTTGGGTCTATATTGCAAGTAAAGTGAACAGGGAATTCCAAATGAAATCATTTCAACTTAAGTAAACTAATACTTATGTCTAAATTGGCTGCACCCCTTAATAATATTTATCTCAATAAGAAATATTCATGTGATTCTGTGATGTTCCAGTATCAACAATTGCTCATTAACCCCTGAAATCCTCCCCAGAACTCCGCCCGTCGCTACTCCCGCTTCGTGCTCTTCTTCAAGCCAGTTTTCGGAGATGCGCTGGTGGTCAAGGGCTCCGAGGACCCCACCACAACCACAACTGTGCGCACCACCACAACCACCGAGGAGACCGACAAGCTCAACGAAGTCTAAATCGAATTTATTTTATCTTAAATTCATATTTTTTTGTAACCTGTTGGGTGTTTTTGTTAAAGTTTAACTGGTGTTACCAATGGAATATACTATATACCTATTTATGAACTAGCGCGGGGTCGAACCAGCATGCGGACAATTTTCAGAGATCCTTTGGGTCCATCGAGAAAGCCACGCCACAAAATGCCCTTGAAACCATCGACATCTCGCTCGAGAAGGCGTTGATAGAGGCCAAAAGGGTTGCTAGGGGATGGGGAATATATTTTGATGTACATATATCTAAATGGTATCTAAAATTCCATAGAAAACCCACCTGAGATTGCAGGAGCCGCCGTACCAAAAGGCCCCCGACTGCGAGGCCGCGCAGTTTTGCTCGCTCTCATCGTTGTCCCGATCCTGAGTGCTGAATTTCTTGCCCGTGTGCTGGCGCAGTGCGTCCTCCGCATCGCCCTGGTATTTTCCCAGGACATTCAGCCTGTACTGCTCCGACTCACTGCCGATGCTGAAGTGATCGTATACAGCGTATCGCAGGTCCTGCTTCCGATTCTGCAGCTGAACCAAGAGCTCGTAGTTGTCACTGCTGGTTATCTGGTGCAGCTTGTCCAGGCCGATGAAGAACTCGGTGGTGAGCGGTCCAAAGCCAATCTGGTAGTCGGCCCACTTGCGATTGAAGTCCTCGCTGCCGTCGTACCGGTTGACCACCATGGTCCAGCCGCCACCCCTCACCTTCTGGTCGCAGAACACGAAGAAGGGCTCCACATTCGCCCGGGGTCGGATGCGGACCACCCCGTGCTGCTGCTTCAGGCAGTTCTCCGGAGTGCCGGGCACACCCACTGCCCCGCCGGCGGCCAGGAGTTGCGGCTCAAGGTCCAGGCTGTCGAGGTGGAGAGGTCTGGGGAATATTACTTGCGATCAACAGGGCCCTGCGGCATGTACCCACAATCGAGAGCCCAGGGCGTGGGGCGAGGCGGCGAGGGCCACCGCCGGCGGACTGCCCGTCCTCCGCAGGTCCACCAGTTGCTCCTGTAGACTGCCTATCTGCTCCTTCACACTGGCTATTTCCCTCGTCAGCGACTGCATCCGGGTGGTGAGGCCACTCAAGGCTGAAACTGGGCAGCTGCTGGAGCTCTGGAAGCCGGGTATCGTGTTTATAGGTTGTAGACGATGCATCAGCGGCGTAGGTACACCCAGAGAAAAAACGTAGTAAGTGATAGTACTTATGCAAAATTTGATTTCAATAATACACTTTGATTTTACTACTACTGACTTTACTCGCTTATTTTTAAAAACTTTTAAAAATGGTTATAAACGATGCATCAGCATCATAGATGCACCCAAAGAAAAAACTTTAATCTTAAATGTTTTAAATGTTACACTTTAGTTTTACTATTACCGTTGTATAACATTTAACTTGTTTATAGAGCTCATTTGTAAAAATGGTTATAAACGATCCATACAGCATGTCAACTCCGAAAGAAGAATCATACGATATTTTAATAACAATGTTTTTAACTTATCCCCCCCCCAGGCCAATTTTTGCTCCACAAGTACAGCTCAAAGTTTAGAAATTTTGCGAGGCCCTCACGCAACTCACCGCATTTTGCAAAGAGGGCGGAACCATCAGACCTCCGCCCAGATCCGTTTGCGTGGTGGACAGACAGGCCATGGCCATGACCAAGGCGTCCAGCTGGAGCATCTGCGACATTTTCCCACTGGCGATCACTGGCCACCGACTAGCTAACTGGCTGACTAACTAACTAAGTTAGCAACTAAGCACTAACTACCGATCTGAGGCACAATGCGAGTGCGAATAAAACCAAAGGTCACTCGATCGACTGGCTTTACACGTTGTGTGCATTGCATTGAAAAACGAGTATGCTAAGCAGAATCAGCTAGTGTTGGGCAGTGCTTTCTCATCCAGTGATCGCCAGTTAGCAACACTACATGTTGCACAACTGAAAAGGTTATCTACCTAGAGGTATTTTTTGTATGTACTGGATGGTTTAACAGGTTATTATGTCGCCTTACACAGAGAAAAGACAAATATTTTAAGATAAGTAAAGTTTGTTAACTATAAAATTTTTATTTTAAAAAGGGTTTGGTTTTTGTAAAATGTTCAAAGATAAAATTTTTAAAAATGGCTGTAAACGAACCATCAGCAGCATGCGTAAGTCCATAGGAATTTTTAATATCTGTGCAAACCTATAGTTTTTGAGGTTGCTAACACTACAAAAATATTTTATGGATCAGTGAACTCCTCATCACTGTGATCGCTTCACCTGTCGTGACTTTTGTGGCATCTCCAATCATCCACCAGCCAACAACTAATCCAGTGAGCTAGTGAGCCAGCTTACTTAGTCAGTTGCCCAGTCGAGCAGTTGCAGCTGCTTTGCAGTCGCTGGAATCGAAATATATATATTTATCGGAGTATATCGTATTACTAAATCGGAGCTCATATAGGCATCGCCATGGCGCTGGAGGCGCTCGTCACGGCTTTGGCCTGTCTCAGCACCACCACAAATGCCACCAGCAACTTGCCAGGAAAACACTTTTCCGTGATAATGAGAAACTCGGCGGAGCCCTTTCTCCTTGCTGAAAATGTGGGTGTACCACTGTATTAATACTGTATTTGTTTTCACATAAATTTAATTTTACTCAGGATACTGCTAGCTGCCCCGTAAGCACCTTGGGTGGCCTAGCCCTACGGTAAGTGTTTTTTTGAATTTCTTATATAGAACATTTCCCAATAATGTGGTTTCATATGAAATCCACTTTATAGCATACAATCCATGACGGATGAGCTGGAATCTCTGAAAACTGATCTAAACGAACTGCAGGGGATGATAGAGGAGTATAAAAATCAGGGCACAGGAGTTCCCATCGCAACAAGATTGTAAGTTAATGTAATATACTATAAAGACCATTATCTTTGGCAGAGAGTAGCCTAATATTATGTAGTATAAATTTGTTTTAATACTTCTTGGAGCTGTGATGAAAACGAGAGAGCCAATAAATAGATTGATTTTTTGCATTACTTAGAAGTTGCTTTAAACTCTTCAATAGAAACGAATTAAAGACGTTAAGCAACTTAATATTTGACTGTCAATTGAATCCTTAATAATTAAATTATTACAATTGCTTAGTAAGACCCCTCTTTCTCCATTTTCAGACTCCGCCCATTGCCAGCCAGTGTGCAGACCTTTCCCCTGCCCCTGGCCACGCCCACCGACGACACGCCGAGGAATTGCCACGACGAAAAGCACGGCCAGGTGAGGATCCGGATCGCTCCGGATGTGGAGCCCTTCTTCGCCAGCTGCGACCAGAAGGTGCGGGGAGGCGGCTGGATTGTGATCTCCTACCGGTACGATGGCAGCGAGGACTTCAACAGGGATTGGGAGAACTACAAGTCCGGTTTCGGGGCCCTCAACGCGGAGTTCTTCATCGGACTGGACAAACTGCATCGTCTGACGAACAGCGAGCACCACGAGCTGCTCATCATCATGAGGAACCAGAATCGCGAGGAGCGATTCGCCCTCTACGATCACTTCAGTATTGGCAGCGAATCGGAGAAGTATCTTCTATATGTCCTTGGGGCCTACAAGGGGGATGCGGGGGACTCGCTGCGCTACCATGCGGGCAAGAAGTTCACCACCCGCGATCAGGATAACGACGATAATGGCCAGAACTGCGCCAGGACCCATGCAGGAGCCTGGTGGTACGGAAGGGAGTGCTTCGAGAGGTGAGTCCCAAAGTCCCCACTAAAGGGACCATTTAAATAAGAACTATATAACACTAGCATGAACTACTTTGATTTATGTCTCTCAGGACATACAAAATTGGGTTTATTTGGAGCTGTTTGTGGTCACTCCATTCTTAGCAAAGCCCGGGGGTATACTAAGATTGTGTGGTAAAAGTTTAGAAGCTGTATATCTGCTGGTTTAGGCTCTACCTGGTTTGTTACAATTTTATTGAGATATTTTAACTGAAAATTGTAGCGTTATTTAAATTATTTTAGAAAGTTTAAAAATGTAATCATATACAGTATAAAACGAGCAATGATATTTAATAAATAAGTAATAATCATTTTAATTGAAATTAATAGTATAACTAACATTTTACACCTGTTTATCCAGGTACACTAGCTCTATTTAAATGAGATGTAATTCCCCATAACTAACTGCAAACACTTTTAAATAATTACCTATACGTAAAGAAGTTATACAAAAGAATTTTTAGGTAAAACAATATAAAAGTATTCTAACTATATGGGCCTATTAAACCAGTCAGACTAGTATTGTGCTCTATTTAAATGAGATGTAATTCCCAATGACTAAGCTCTTTTGAAGTGAGATGTAATTTCCGATAACTAGCTAATTGCCAACACTTTTAAATAGATACATGTTAGATTTAGCATCTTCTTAAACCTTTCAGATACAGATACAGGATCTGTACTTAATTTTATTTTTTTATTAAGATATCTATAAGTATTTTTAATGAACTATCCCATCACGTTCCTACTTCCAGCAATCTTTTCGGCACATTCCAGCCGAAGTACGGCCAGGAGATCGGCTACTTCAAGGGCATCCTGTGGAAGACCTTCCTGCCAGGACCCACCGGTTCGCTCAGCTACGTCCGCATGCTCATCCGACCGCTGAGGAAGTCGTAGGGAGAGCACTGTGGCAAATTCAATCGCCAAGACCCCTTAGACGCCATAGACCACAATAAATGTAGATTATTGCGTAATGCAAGATACTTGCCCGAATAGTTCGGCAATTGCTTGTGCAAGCATTTCTCCCGTTTGATCTGCTGGCCTGATTGCGAACGGGTTTTAATTATTCCAATTATTATATATATTTCGCATTAAGCGATGTTCAATTAATTGGCGTACAATACGCAACACACACACACATACACACAGAGATGGTGGGGAAATAATGCCGCTCATTAATGGCATATTATCATGAGAAATTTTCGTACTGCTCATTTGCATACAAAGGAGACAAAAGGGAGGGCCCATTGCTAAGCAACGGAAATTGTTTTCTCTAAAAATAAGCATATGCATTTGCCAATGCTAATGATATCGAACGGCCCGCACTGCGTATGCGTAATGTGGGAGCACGGGGCGTATGCGTAATGCGACTGTCGTTGGCACCTAGCCCCCTCCACCTTCCACTTTCGCCTAAGAATTACGAGCATGGGAAAACTTGGTCCTCCCCGCCGGAATAAATTTCATAAATTTCAGGCAGAGCAATTGAATGTGGAAGGGGGGCGGGACGGGGACGACATCCCGGATAAAGACGGGGGCAAATAAGCTCCTGTGCAATTGTGTGCCAAATTCAATAAATAACAAGAGAAACTTGAGAGGCCACTGGACATGGCGAATGGAAAATACCCTAATCATGCCCATTAGATATTTATGAATTTAACTGAAAACGACTTTACATTTCTCACTTACCCAGAAGCGTATAAACAGTTATATTAAATAAATTGCACAGGAATAAATTTGAATTGACTTATGGCTCATTTTAAATATTCATGAATTCTTAGAGAAATCAGTAACGATGTGGTTAGGTATTGTTTAGAAATTTTAAATATACTAGCGTAATATCAGTTTTACACAGCTGTTTGAATATCATTTTTATTTGTATGCAAACTATAACTAACCCTAAACAAACTTATATAACATGTAATAACAAATGATTTTAAATAACGTGGATAAGAATTAATATTAATTGAGTAAAGAGCTACTTTACATATCATAGACTCTTAGAGAAATCAGTTATAACTATAACGGAATAAATCATTATGTGCAACAACTATTTGAAATATATTTTTATTTTTATGTATAACTACAACTAACCGTTAAGGAACTTTTTTATAAAATATTATAGTAACATATTTATAGATTCTTGGAGGGTTTAGAATTTATGGAAATGTTTATTAGAAATTACGTTTTCATTTCAATGTAAATTCTTAAATATAAATGTACAAACAAACTGCTCCAGATAGCTAATTCACCCACGTTATTACCGGCTCATTGGCCGACATGATAGTAAATAAATTTGCTCACTCGAACTCCGAGAGCCCGGGAACTTTTTGACAGAGTCTGAAAATATTAAACAAAGCGCACGATTCCGCAAAACTCAACTGACAATGAAATGTTGGCCGATCCGAGGGAGCCGGAGCTACTTCATCAACTTGCTCCACCTCAACTTCAACTTGCACTTGTTTGGCCTTTGTTTCGATTGTGTTTTTTCCGTTTGTGTTCCTGTGTTCTTGTGTTTTTTGAATTTTCATAAAACTTTTGCTCGTTTGCCGCTAATAAATTATTTTCGGGGCGCAAAAAGTTTGGCCGGGTGTCCTGGAGTTCTGGAGTTCTGGAGTCCCGAAGTCCCGAGGTCCCGAAGTCCTGGAATCCAGAGTCCGCTGCTCTAAGCTGTCCGCAGAAGGGACATTCCTGCTCCTCGGGGGAAGGACTTCGATACCGATTCCACAAACACCAACTGCATATTGTCCTGGGCAGCCAGGACATCACAGTCCTCGTTTGCCGTTGTTTGTTATTCCTGTGTGTGCGCTTTGTTCATAAATAATTTGCCCCACAACTCAATTTCATGAGCGTAAATCACTGCGTGGTCACTTGGAGCCACCCCATCCGCCAGATACCACCCACCATCCCATTGTCTCACTTCTTCCCTTCAAATAATTCCCATCTTGTTTTCCCGGCCGGCCATTTACCATACAATTCCTTGTTTATGCCCTGGCCAGCAAAGTTTTCCTTTTCCCACTTCATTGATGGCAGGACAGCCTTGTGACTTTGTTGTCTTATGTGTTTGCCGGGG